ATCAAAAAACGTTAGCAAAGAATAGATATCGCTCCGAGTTCAGAAATTACAAAACAAACCAGAACCAAAAAAACCTGATATAAACAAGGTGTGGCAGGTTTGCTAAGAAAGTGCCTCGAATTTTTTCGCCTTGTCCAAAAGGTATAAGCCGACAACTAACCCGTTGTAACCTGCATTGTAAAGTTTGAGATAAACAAATATTTGAACGTTAAAGGTTTTATGTATATGTATTTCCAATAAGTTAATGGGATTTTATAAGAATTTTGAAATATAATTACTTTTTTTTCTTATTGAAAGGTGATTCAAAGAGTAATGGGTGATTTTTTTGTAAATCGCGAAGATAACGTTCCGAAAATCTAACCAATTAAAGATTATGATCAAAATGAACGTCTCTAATTAGATACGTAAATATTTGATTTGACTTGCTTCGATTTTGTAGTTGAATCAGTCTGTCCTATTGGACGTCCAGATAGTTCAATGGAATACATTGATTTACTAGAATTATTTATGATGTAAGCTGTTGAACTCTACTTGCAATTCTGAACGAATTATTAAATGCTTGAGAATTTTGTGTTATGAACAAGTGCGCCGTTAAAAATCCTTGGGTAATCACTGAAATGTATTTAAACTGTTGCGGTATGGATATTCGTAATACTGGAACATTAGGAGGCTTTAAGGTCGAAGGCGTCAGAATGGTCTCATTTTCACTTTTTATGGATTGTTGTGGTGTCTGAACAAGGAAAGGAGTCTGTTTCTGCGGCTGAGATGCCATTGTACCAGTTAAAAAATCATTTTTCGGAGTTGAGGCAATATTGGATTGAGTTTTTTGTTCTAGGGGAAATGATATTAAATGCATTGGCAGAAATTTGATGCACTTAAAACGGATATTGATAAGACTCTTCAATAATTTCTTATTTGTCTTCTACATAGCCAATCTTGATTGTTATTGCTTTCTTCACTATGAAAAGAAGGTAATAACACATCAAGGCTGGCGGTTGATGGAAATAGTCGTGGCTGGTAGACCATCTTTGCATTTCTCCGAAATTGATAAAACCAGATAATCAAACCTTTATTGTTTTTTTTTGCGCCATACGTATAGTATATTTCATGTGATATGTGATCTACATTGCATGTAGCAATTTGAAACAAAATTTTGAGTTAAGACTTCCAGTACCATATAAATAATATTTAAATATTAATATTAATTGATTAATAAATTTGAATATATTTTGATAAAATGTAATTTAAAAAAAAAATTTTTAATCCAAATTTTAATATAAAGTTTATTTTTAAAAAATATAAAAAATTCTAAATTCCAATAATTAATTGATATGAATTTATGTTTAGATTTATGATATGTTTTTTTATATTGGATAAAAATTTAAAAATAAAAAAATTTTTATTGAAAAATATTTGAAATTTTGATTTTCAATGTATTATATATATATATATCGTAATTATAAAATTATAAAAATTATTATTATTATTATTATTATTATTATTATTATTATTATTTACTTTAAACATTTATTATAGTAAAAAATTGCTTTTTATATTTCAAAAAGTTATTTTTAAAATTTTATTTAATTTAAAATACGGTACTATTTATTAAATTATAAATAAATTTATTTTAAAAATATAGATTTTTTAAAACTTGATAATAAATAATTGTAATAATTTGAAAAGTACAAGATTAGTGAACATAATCAATCCAAGTACAATGACTGAAAATTCAACAATTTCATTCGAAAGTCAAAGTCATCTACGGTATCTCGAAGTGAAATCGTTATTGCCCACAATAAAATTCTATTTAAAAGCTTCATATGACCTATTCGAGATGATTTTAATAGCTTCCCTGGTATAAGTCTTTCCTTTTGTAATTTAAACACGACAATTTTTATAGAAATATTGTCACAAAGTGCAGGTGAAATGTAGATTGAAACCATTTTTATGCAAACACTCCTAGTACCTCGCAACCTCTTTTATTCTTCCTACCACAATAGCATTCGCAAGCGAAAAAAAAGTTTACAAACCTGTGAAGCGCGATCAAATAAAGGCTAGCTACATAAGTTTCACGCATAAAGACATGAATTAGAGGCCGCTCGAGTACTCTCCATTGCCGATTATCATTATGCTGTACATAAATTTCTAGGAACCGTTTTTATTGATTATTTCATAGGCTCATAGAAATTACAAATTAACCTGGGAACCGAGACTAAACAATTGCGTCTATTTAACTACTGTAATTATATGCTCACGGCAAATAGTATAAACGTTCTTAAATGTGCTGCTTCTTTGGTTAAACTTAGTCGGGAGATTCCGTTTTTTGAAACACTCATCAAAGAAGGGAAAACTTTGCACGTAAAATAACGAAAAATTTTTTCGCGTAACCTTTATGAAAGGGAGGTTGATTGACATAATGATAATACATTCAAGAAATGATTAAACTCATGCCGCAGCGAGGCGTATGAATTAACAAACAACGGTGAGATGATGACATTAGACGAGAATGTTTTTCATATCGCCGCCATCTATGTATATTTAACGCACAATATGTTGATTTTAATATTATGCTCCGTGCCTTAAAATTTATTGCAATAAATTTTTCCGAAGCGTCTCACGCAAAAATATTATATTGGCAGCAATAAAAATTGGTAATCCGTGGTGAAATAACGAATTTGGGAATATCTAGTGTTAATATGCGCTTACGTCATTTCCACAAATGGCATCTTACCGTAATGATTCTACGAAAGTCACCAAACACAAGACATGGTGGAAAACAGAAGTTAGCAAGAATCATAAAGAAAGAAGGGGATAAAGATTTTTCCCAATTCACAAAACAAAAAACAAAGGTCACGGAACTTTAAAAAAAAAAAAGATGAATAAATAAAGGATAAACCTTTTTCCTCAGTAAAATCCACGATTGTACTCTTTTTCTTTCCTAATTTATACCCCATATTACTTTCAACCGTTACTAGTGCAGGTAACCCTCCGGTTTTATCGATGAATGATAAACATTTGAATATTTTGCAAACAACTAAACCATACATACATCTTTTTAAATGCACATATATACGTATAATGCAAAGTTTCTCAGATTCCTAGATTCTTAAGCTCCGTTATCACATGATATGTGAGACGGATAAACTTTTTCTTTGATAATCATTATATAATCGATCTGACCGTAGCTCCTTTGTTTACGCCTCAATAATGTGGGAACCAGGGAATTGGTCATGTAGTCCAGTCTCTCAATTCATTCGGTCTGTCTGTCCGTCTGTTTGAGAAATCTTACTTTGAACGAATTGTGAAGGGATTGCACAGATCATTCATTTTTTAAATGTTCAACGTTTTCAAGATTCACGTAAAATACTTCACCATCGTCAATTTTTTATCTCCCACACATTGTTTGTCATTGATATTTTTTCATGTTCCCATTTCTTCCATGTGTATTCAGTTAATAAAAACCTTGAAAGTGGTCAAATAATTCGTGTAACGATTAAAAATAAACGAGTTCGATGTCGTACGGAAAATTGCACGTCTGTTTATTAAATTAGTAAGAATTATGTTGTCATATAAAACTTTCCTTATTTAATTTGCAATATTGGCGCGCATGTTCAATCCAAAAAAAAATTATAAAAGGTCCATGTGTCCCTTTGCTATCTTATAAGAAGAAAACTAAAAAAACTAATCTCGTTAATCTTACTTAAACTGCAAAAAATGAGTCAAAGTAGTGACCAATCAGAAAAGATCAATCATCAGATCGAAAGACACGTCAACTTGAATAATAATGATAAAGAATCGGTAAAGTGACCACTGTAAATGCTACTGATTTACAAAGCCTCCTAAACTAAATTCTCTGTTTTCCCCTTTCCTTTGTCAAAATTTATAAAATAGCTCGTGTCAGCGGATTCCATTGATTTATCCGAAATCACGATCTCCCAACAAGATGAAAAAGCATCGAAGCGTAATAGAATAATACAAAGCACTATTAGTACCTCTTTCTCTACGAATAATCCAGTGTACCTAGAATTTCACGGCATAAACTATTTCGTACCTATAAATAATGAAACTAGCAATTCGGCTCGTAGTAATCGGGATCGTTGGTTACCGTTTTTGAAATCGTTTCAAACCAGAGCAAGCCAATCGGACGAGGAAATTGGTGAATCGGGACAAAATCAAATCCTGCATAATGTTCATGGGTGTGCTAAACCCGGTATGTACAGTATCGTAGGTCCTGATGACCTACAGGTTCTATGTTCTTCGTTAATCAAATGTTGTTGTGATCACAGGTGAAATTCTCGCCATTATGGGTCCGTCAGGATGCGGGAAGACTACTTTGTTAAACATTTTGGGTGATCGTGTGAGCAAACGAGGAATCTCGGGTACAATAAATATGAACGGGCGTAGGCCGACAAAGGAAACAAAAAGATTCGTGGCTTACTGTGCTCAAGATGACATCTTTTTCCCACAGTTGACCGTCAGGGAGACTCTTAGTTTTACGGTATGCATTCGATGTCAGGGTGAATCTACTGTACAATACATCATCCTGCAAAAACTAATGTTGAATTAAAACAGGCCAGGTTGCGTCTTCCCCGGGATATGCCAAAACGCGAAAAGTTAAGACAAGTCGAAAACACAATTCAACTATTAAATTTATCAAAGTGTGCGGACACAAAGATCGGCGATAGTTGGTCTAGGGGCATATCCGGTGGCGAAAGAAAACGTGCTAGCATTGGTAGCGAACTATTAACCGACCCGAGTGTCATCCTGTTAGATGAGCCTACTTCCGGGCTTGGTATGCATATCTTGATATTATATTTACGTTAATTTACCCACATAAAATTAACTGGTCAATCCCCTTAATCTGATAAAACCCAGACTCGTCGTTCGCGCTGGAACTAATAAAAATTCTAAAAGAGTTCGCGATCCAACAACACAAAACGATAATAATGGTCATACACCAACCGTCCTCACAAGTATTTGAACTATTCGACAAGCTACTGCTTATGGCGGATGGTCACGTGGTATACTTTGGCGAGCGTGCGAACGTGGTGAATTATCTGAACGACCAGAAATGCAAATGTCATCCAAATTTTAATCCAGCTGATTATATAAGTGCGTTTGATGTTTTCTTTATTCTGAAAATGTTACGTACTCAATACTTTATTAACTTAAAATGATGCCATAAATTTTTTATCCTTCTATAAAGTGGAGCTACTAAATGATCCGACATCCAAGCAAAAATTGATCCAAGCCTATGCCCGTCATGTAAAACCCGATCCCACCGGTGAACAATTAGTTAAAAAGCACTCTAATCTATCCCGTGATGTGTCATCGCTGCCCGCACTCGATGACAGTATAATATCGTCGAGTCCGTTGAAGATGAAACATCTGTGGGAGGCAACCTTCTTACAACAAGTGATTATCCTGACCGAACGATCGTTTAGACAACGAAGCAAGGTCATATTGTCTAAATTAGATCTCTTGCAGACACTTAGTTTAGTACTTTTTGGTTGTATAATTTGGTTCCAGTTACCATATAAGGAGAGTAGTATACAGGATCGGTATGGATCGGTGAGCGGACAAATTTTTCTTTTCCTTTGTTTCCACATGACTTCACCCGACACTCATCGTAATTTTTTTTCTTCCCTCATTCCGTTGAAATACTAGATCTTCTTCACGTAAGTTACTTTCATCACATGATACCTAACTTCGAATGCTTGTACTAATGTATGAGATTTTCACATCCAAACAGATCAGTCTACTGGTCATTCTACCCGATGATGTTCACGATATCTTCATTTCCGCTGGACTTAACCATTTTAAACAAGGAACGTCAATCTCGATCCTATCGACTGTTGTCCTACTTCTTTTCGAAACAGGTGGCCGAGTTGCCACTTTCCATAGTTCATCCCGCGATCTTTGTGATAGTCGTGTATTGGGTTAGTGGATTGGTGGCAGATGGCGAAAGGTTTATCGCGTATCTGGTATGTGTTTCTCGTTTTACCTATCTCAATTCCTAGGGGAACGTGGCGATTAATAGTTTTCCTGTTTTTAAATGACAAAAGCTCGTAGTATTGTTGACAACGTTGACGGCGCAAAGTTTCGGATACTTGATAGGTGCCACATTGCTAAATGTGCAGAAGGCGTTGTGTAAGTGATGTCTCAAGATTTGCATCAAAGCTACCTCTTCTTTTTACCCCATTGTAACTCGTTATCATAAATGAATAGCTGTCGCAAGTGTATTTATGCTATCAACAATGCTTTTGGCTGGATTCTACGTTAGAAATCTTGTTTCCGAGTTGAGTTGGCTGAAGTATTTGGTAATTATTATTATTATTATTATTTCTC